GGCAAAGGCAAGTGAGAGGCAAAGAATTAAGTCTTAAGAGAACTAAAACCTAGGCAAAAAGTGTGGCAGTCACATGTACACATGGTTAGGGGGGTTGTTATAAGAATTTGAAGGACTTACATATATAAAATAGATGTTCCTAAATGTACCAAGCAAACACATACAAATATGCAAACCACATGTCTGAAACCCACAGCAAAGTCCTGAAACCATTTTCTCTCTCCCAAAATGACCTCAAATATTTATCTGCAAGGTCAAAGGAAATGGGAAATCTCCCCATTGTCTCTTTCACAAATCCTGTCTTAAGGGCACATTTAAGATATGAATAGGGTGTGAGCCTATGACATGGATTCAGGAACTGAGTAACAAAACAGTGGCCAGGATGCCCAGGTAATCCAATCAAGCAACCTAGCAGACAAGAGAAAAAAACAACACACTCAGATCTCTGTTGTAGACAGCCTTTTCTGTGATGTATGTATTATGTTTCTGGGGGGTGGCCTTGGGCTACACCCCTTCGGTTCTTAGTAGCTCAGAGAAGGTATGGGAACCTTCAAGCTTCAAAGAGGTTCAGGAGTTAACCTCTAAAGATGCGGAGCCTTGGCTTAATGCCATGAAGGCTGAAGTTGATTCAGCCCCAAGGGCTATGATGGCTTTTGTCTCTCAGGCAGTATCCCAACAACAGGTTATGGGCGCAGCGGAAGCATCCTGGGCCCATAACCTGTTGTTGGGATACTGCCAAGGTGGCAGTATCCCAACAGTTTCTGGGGGTGGTCTTGGACTCCAGGGCGGGGAATTTAAAATGTCTATAAAAGGGCTTGCACACCTTTGTTCTGGGTCCTCCTGAAGGAATGGGTTATGTTCTGGGTTATATCTTATGTCCTGACCACAAAGACCACAGACCCAGTCTGGGAACAGCGCCAGTGTGTGTTCTCGGAGATGATGACCTCTTGCTCCAAGATAAGAGTAGGAACAGGAAGATCCTTTTATGGTCAGAAGTACAGGAAGGAATACCCTTTTATGGTCAGAAGTATAGGAAGGAATACCCTTTTATGGTTAAGAATACCAGAGCAGGAACATATGTGATGTCAACCTGCATACATAGGCTGACGTGGTTGGATTCCTAGGGAAGGAGGGAGAGGGTGCCTGGAGGATATATATACTGTATGAAATTTCTCATTTCTTTGGACTTGCTGTGAACTGATCACGCAAGTGCCTTCTGCATTCCGGAGAGCAGAATAAACTCTTTCTTTGAACCAAGCTCGGTGTCATTTGACTTCCTTCCTCCCGTCCGGGAGCAACGCAGACCCAATCGGTGAACTCCAATAAGGCTACACTCCTCCTCTCTCCTGTGTGTGGGGGGAGCACCCTGTTGCAACAGCTTTAATAAAGATCAGGCTTATAGCCGCTTTGCTTTTGTACATCCTGGTCTGGTCTCTGTTCATTTCCCGACCAGTTTGAGCCTTAAAAGGCACGCTCCCTCTGAAGGTCCAGTCTTCCTTAAGAAGCTGAACCCCTTGAAGGGACCCCATTTTTATTCTTATTTCAGGGTGGTCATAGGTAATTGTAGTCAGTGGGAACAGGCAGTGATCAATGCACTTCTTAATTGGCCAGTGAAATTATTTTGCTTTTAGGTGACAGTCGCTGTCTGGTCGTAGATGATGATGATTTCTTCCCCCTAAACTCACTTCGCTACGTCTCCCTCCTCCCAGCCCCCCATAAACATGTGTGCAATATTTAGCAGATTGGATTTCATGCACTTGATGCATCGGACTTTCAGCTTTTAAGCCGCCGCGGGAATTTTCATACTAGCCTAGGAGCGCTTCTACAATACTAACGCAACATGCACATGAAAGCAGCTTAATTCCAGCTGTCTGATTGGTTAACTCCATCACTGGGGCTCTCGGTTGATGGATATAAATGAAGTAGCTTGCACTGCCCCCATTCCCATTGGATAGAAAGAGTAGCTCGGCTTCCAATTGGTTAAATGTAGATACTCTCCTTTTCTGTTGGTTTTCTTTTGTGTCCTATGCTTAAAGGTATCCAAGAGCCTATATAGAGTCCTTACATAGGTTCCCTATTGGTAGGAGAAGATAACAGAGGCCAACCAGAGAATATTGAGAAGCAAAGCAGCTAGTGAGCCTGATCTTTATTGATCTGTTGCAACAGGGTGCTCCCCTCACCCACAGGAGAGGAAGAGGAACCCAGAAAAATGGTGCGCAAGGCCTTAGTAAGACTTTTGAAATTGCCACCCTGTAGATCAAGACCACCCCCAGAAACATCATACATCCATCACAGAAGGGGTGTAACCTAAGACCACCCCTCAGATACATCATACCTATATCACAAAAAAGGCGGTCTAAAACAGAAATTTTGAATGTTGTTTTTCTCCTGCCGTTGTTTATCTCCTGTCTGGCAGGTTACTTGATTGGATTGCCTGGGGAGCCTGGCCAGTCTTTTGTAATGATAAATACTTAGTTCCTGGGCCAGATCACAGGCTCACACCCTATTCATATCTTAAAAGTGCCCTTAAGACAGGATTTGCGGGGATAGAGACAATGGGGAGGATTCCCACTTTGACCTTGCAGAGAAAACATTTGCTCAGTTTAGGAATCAAAATGGTTCCAGGTTGGTCTTTCTGTGCTGATCTATGTACGGGCTTGGTTGGTACGCTTATGAACATTACCATATATCTAAGACCTCAAAATTCCTATCACACCTGACCATTAGGTCCAGTCGCGAACCAGAGCAGCGCACGGAAGCGCCATTTACCTTCCCGCTGGAGCAGTACCTATTTATCTACTTGCACTTTGACGTGCTTTCGAACTGCTAGGTGGGCAGGAGCTGGGACTGAGCAACGGGCACTCACCCTGTCGTGGGGATTTGAACCGCCAACCGTCTGATTGGCAAGGCTTAGGCTCTGTGATTTAGACCACAGCACCACCCGTGTCCCATTACATTAGTGTGTACCAAACCTAAATTTCCTGGAGATGGTGAACCTATGCCTGGATTGTACTTCTTACCCAATAATAATAACTGCTAGGTGGGCAGGAGCTGGGACCGAACAATGGGAGCTCACCCCGTTGCGGGGATTCGAACCACCAACCTTCCGATCGGTGAGGATTCAAACTGCCAACCTTCTGATCGGCAAGCCCTAGGCTCTGTGGTTTAGACCACAGCGCCACCCGCGTGGCACCCTGGTGTGCCTTGAATGATGGTCAGGGGTGCTGTGGGCAACCCTGGGCTCTGTCCCTCTTTCCTTCTCTCCCTCCTCTGATGCTTTCTCACACCTCTGCCTCTCAAAGGCTTGCACCCCTGTTTGTAGCCAGGACAGCTACTGCAGCTATCTCCTCATGTGAATGGTGCCTTGGGGGGGGGATGACCAGGGGGTTCTTCCCAGGCCCTTTAGGGCAGAGTGAGGAGGCAGCTCTCTTTGGGGCAGAAGGGAGTGGTGCTCAGAGACCAGGGGTGGCATCTGCGGCTACCCAGAAGACTCCCAAGGAGTGGGGAGAGGAGAGGGGGCTGAGGGAACACTCCACAAGGGAGGGTGTTTGCAAAGGGGTGAGGGGCTGCCGGCTCTGCAGGCAAGGGGTGGCACAACTGGGCCCCTGAGCCCCACAGGGGTGCTGCAGAAAGAAGGTTGTTGGTCAAGGGATCCATGGACCCCAAAAGGTTGAAAACCTCTGGGCTTAGGGGATTGCTGCATTCTAATACTGGAAGTTATAAAAACTCTTAGTGTTGCAGCATGTGATGAGTCACACCCTGGCCGGCACTTTCTTGATCTCCTGCCCTCGGGCAGAAGATATAGAAGTAGGATTAGTCGCACCAACAGGGCAAAGAACAGCTTCTATCCGTGGGCTGTTAGGCTGCTGAATGAAAAGATAACAAGAGGGCAACTGATTTCGGGTTTGGTGGGTGTGCGTCAGTAAACGAGGGGAATTAAGACTAAGAGAGCTGAGTGGGGGGTGCTCGTGTAATCTCACTGTACAGTGGTACCTCAGGTTAAGTACTTAATTCGTTCTGGAGGTCCGTTCTTAACCTGAAACTGTTCTTAACCTGAAGCACCACTTTAGCTAATGGGACCTCCTGCTGCCGCCACTGTACGATTTCTGTTCTCACCCTGAAGCAAAGTTCTTAACCCGAGGTACCATTTCTGGGTTAGCGGAGTCTGTAAACTGAAGCGTCTGTAACCTGAAGCGTCTGTAACCCAAGGTACCACTGTATACAAATTGTACAAGTGACAATAAAGTATTTCAATTATTGCTGTTATAATTGCAAAAGCATTTATTGCAGACCTTGGAAAGTAGGGTGCAATAGAAGCCTGGTATCTGAATTCTATTCTGTTGGGGTTACCCCCCCTTCCCCCGCCCCCCCCCCGGCCTCAAGGAGCTTTGAGAGAGAAAGATTAGAAAGGAATTGACTGCGGATCTTTGGAATAAGCTTTGAACCACTACAGCCAACCACTAAATGTACATACAAAGTAACCAGTTACTAAAATCTAGCTTCTGGTGTGTATGTGCAGAGAAGCCAGCTGCTTTTGATGGTGGATTTTTAAACCTAAAGTTTCAAACTCTTTTAATGATAATAATCCTCTCCAAATAGCATTTTCATAACGTCATTTAGTACGGACATCTTTGAAATCAAACCATGTGGAACGACGGAGAACTGAGCAGAATTAACACTGCTTAAACCTTGCTGTTTCATAAGCACCATTAGGTTTTTCGCCTCAGTAACGGCAAGGTAGGCAAACTATAAGTCAGTGGAAATGTCTAAAACGTTTTTAAAACTCCAAAGAAACGTTCTACCTTTTGGCAGAAACCCCCAGGGCTCTCAGAACGCGCCAAATCTCGAGTTTGAATTTGATTGGCCGATTCAGCCTGCTATTTACCCAGCCAATCGGGGATAAGGGGGTGGAGCCTAACTCTTTCAGGCTGAAGTTTTCCCTCCGGTCGGATTCTACACTACATAAACAGAAACGCAACGCCGAACCTCTTTACTTCGGAGAGACGTTGGAAAGAGTCTGTCATGTCTGGTCGTGGCAAAGGAGGCAAGGGGCTCGGCAAAGGAGGCGCCAAGCGCCACCGAAAGGTTCTCCGAGATAACATCCAGGGCATCACCAAGCCTGCCATCCGACGCTTGGCTCGCCGAGGCGGAGTCAAGCGCATCTCGGGGCTCATCTACGAAGAAACGCGCGGTGTTCTCAAGGTCTTTCTGGAGAACGTCATCCGCGATGCGGTCACTTACACGGAGCACGCCAAGAGGAAGACAGTCACGGCCATGGATGTGGTCTACGCCCTGAAGCGGCAAGGACGCACGCTGTACGGCTTCGGAGGCTAAGCTCCCTACAGCACATCATATTAGTTCTCAAAAGGCCCTTTTAAGGGCCACTCAAATGTTTCTTAGAAAGAGCTGTAGACACTGCTTAAGAACTTAACTCAAAGCTTTAAAATCTTTAACCACTCCCGGGATGGACCTTAATCCGGGATAGTCAAGTGCGGCAAAAAATAAATTAGTTACCCACCCTTTGGGAAGGTTCTAAACCTCAATGGTTTCTAGAGAGTTTTGCGTAATGACCGTGTCATATGCAAGACCAAGGCGAAAGTTATTCACGAAGTGACTGGTGCCAACCTAACGTACCTTACTGGGTTGTTAGGGTGGGAAGGGCAGGCTGTAAACTGCCTTAAACTACTTGAAGGAAAGGTGGGGTATAAGTAAATAAATGAGCTGGGTTGAATGAGGTGCCACAGGGGAAGTAGGCATGCTTTTTGTTCCCCATTTGCTTCTTTCAAGTTGTACGCAGTTTGAACCAATGAAATGGTGAAATTATCAAATCAGCCAATCAGAGTGTGTGGCAAATATTACAAAATGCATGAGGCCTCATTAATCACAGAATCATAGAATTGTAGAGTTGGAAGGGACCCTGAGAATCATCTAGTGCATGGGTAGGCAAACTAAGGCCTGGGGGCCGGATCCCGCCCAATCGTCTTCTAAATCCGGCCCGCAGACGGTCCGGGAATCAGCGTTTTTTTACATGAGTAGAATGTGTGCTTTTATTGAAAATGCACCTCTGAGTTATTTCTGGGGCATAGGAATTCGTTCATTAATTTTTTTCAAAATATAGTCCAACCCACCACAAGGTCTGAGGGACAGTGCACCGGCCTCCTGCTGAAAAAGTTTGCTGACCCCTGATCTAGTGAATCCCCCGCAACGCAGGAATATGCAGCTGTCCCATTTGGGAATCGAACTTGCTAATAAAGCATTATTGAAGAAAGCTTTAAGTTGCCTGTTTAGAGGGCACCTAACGCAGCGCCTTGTGTATATATATATACATGTAATATTTCTGCTTTCGGATACTCACTTATTCCCTCCCCCCTTTTTTTTTTACTTCTGACAATAGATTCCTTTGCCCTTCCCAAAAGCAGGATAGGAACACAGTCATTATAAGGATCCGTGCTGCGTGATGCATAAAAGCAATCAGGTATGTTAGATAACATTTATTTAGGGAATTTACTTAAAGACATTCCCATGGATTAGTTACCTAGTCATGCTTTATGAGCAGGGAGCAGGAACTAGGTGGATTTCATGTTTGCCCCATTCAATGCACGCCTGTGGCTGAAACGAAGGATTGAGGATGAGGAGGATGTGTTATTATGGACACTTAGATTCATAGTATTGTAGAGCTGGAAGGGACCCTAAAGTCATCTAGTCACACCCTCAACGCAGGAATCTCAGCTATGGGCTACTATTAAAATGAGGCTGCATTTTAAATTGTATCTTAACCTGCATTTTAAATTGCCCCCCCCATTATGTTTTTATTGTAATTTTACTGGTGTTAGCCGCCCTGAGGCCGGCTCTGAGGCCGGGGAGGGCAGGGTATAAATAAAATTTTATTTTTATTATTATTAAAGCATCCAAGACACATGTGAATATGACCTGATTGCTGATAGTCTATTAAAGGTTCACCAAATAAAGAAAAAAGTTTGCTCGCAGTTGTTTTTCTCTCGGTCGGTCGCAGTAATTTTTTTTTTTTACCCGCGAGTAGCAAATGCCTCGGCATCATTCTTTTACATATGTAAAAGACAGGATTGTAAAATACACGTTTCCTATTGGAAGCCTGCTTTGGCTGCTCTTTCTATTGATCAAAAACGAGAACCTTGCTTTTCATTGGTTGGTTTAAACCCGATGGTCTCTCCAGCCAATCACGGGCCGCGATTTACAAGTCAATGGAACGCATAAAAAGCTGAAAGTTCCCTTTCCGAATTCTAGCTCGCTGCGAGTAGTACGTCGGATTCATCTCAGAGAAGAACTCAGCTATGTCTGGACGCGGGAAGCAGGGAGGCAAAGCTCGGGCTAAGGCCAAGTCTCGCTCTTCGCGGGCCGGCCTGCAGTTCCCGGTCGGCCGCGTACACCGCCTGCTTCGGAAAGGCAACTACGCCGAGAGAGTCGGTGCCGGGGCTCCGGTTTACATGGCTGCCGTGCTCGAATATCTGACCGCCGAGATCCTGGAGTTGGCGGGCAACGCGGCCAGAGACAACAAGAAGACTCGCATCATCCCTCGTCACCTGCAGCTCGCCATTCGAAATGACGAGGAGCTGAACAAACTCCTGGGCAAAGTGACCATCGCGCAGGGCGGAGTCTTGCCAAACATCCAGGCTGTGTTGTTGCCCAAGAAGACCGAAAGCCACAAGGCGAAAAACAAGTAAAGGCTCCAAACTTTTCGAGCAGCCTGAAAACCAAACGGCTCTTTTAAGAGCCACCCACGGTGTCAAAAGAGGAGCTGCGATTCTGGTTTGCTAAAATCGAGCAAGTAGAAATAAGCAAGATATTTAGTGCGTTTTTATACACAAAAGCAGGAGGCTAGTGAAACTTGATTTCGTTAGACTAAAGCTGTTCAGTTATCCAAGAGGGTCAAGCCAGTATAAAAAGACTGAGAGTAATAGTCTTTAAAGTAGACTAGCAATTCCAAATTGTCGAAAAAGGGCTTCCGGGTTACTTCGGGCGCCATTTTCTTGTTTTGTTTCATGAGTTGTATTGCTAGAGCCTCACACGCTAGATCAGAGCTTTCCAAACTCGCGACACGTTAGTGTTCCGGCTGCAGTATGTAGGTGTGTCTCGCAAACTTAAAAAGAGTTCGCTAGTAAAACTGAATTGCTGTGTCACCAACATAAAAAGTTTGGAAAGCTCTGCTCTAGATTAAGGTTGAAGCCAAAAGACTATTGCGCTTTCTCACTTGGGTCTTCAGTAAGAAATGTATCTGCCCTAGTTCATGAATTCACCCTGCCATTGTAGTCCATCGCTTTTAGCCTCGTATTGCTGACTGCTGAAGCAAAGACTAGTTGTCACAGGCCTGCAGTTTCTAAGCAACATCGGATGCCCCATATTCAACACTTTCCAAAAACTACCAAGGTACACGTCAGCTGGGGGTCCATGATCTATTAATTTAAGGAAACTGCAGACGTGGGGAGTTCGCAGTAGCCCGGTTTTATTCCCCACTGGATACTTTCCCACCCGTTCCGGGGGAAAAAAAGTAAGTATTGCGACCCCTTTCATCACACCAGTTGCTGTAGCAAAGGGCTTCATCGCCTCCCTCTGTTTTCCTGTAATCCACTTAGCAAAGTCGATTGCCGGTTTCTTGAATTCCTATCTCCAAAACAAAAATCCGATCACTTCCGGGGTAGTTTGTAATCAGAATGGCTAAGCAATGTTTCCAAATGGTGGTGAAATTTATGTCCCCGCCCCTCGCCCTGCCTTTGGCAATGGGAGCAGATTGCAACAAAACACTAGCTTCTTTAAATTGTCCCTTCAAACGCCTGCCAAACCAATAACTCGACTGAATGTGATTGGAAACGCCTGGCGCTCCATTGACTCGAATTCAGACCCTCGCAAAGCAAGATTTTAATATATTAAATCGGAAGCTGGCGGTGTGTGCGTGACTCTACCCTTTCTGATCTCTTATGCCGGGAGGTTGACGTAACAGGGGAGAATGAAGGAAATACCCAATCGCGAACAAGCCCGGGAATTTCAAATGTTTCCAACGGCTACATGGCTATTTTCAGCCAATCAGAACAAAGCGAGCGAGCTATATAAATGGTCCGCACGCAGGCGGCTTGCTCATTTTGATTCCCGGCGAAGGCGAAGGTAGAGAGATTGGTATTTGCGGCAAGGAGGAATGGCTCGCACCAAGCAGACCGCTCGCAAGTCCACTGGCGGGAAGGCTCCGCGCAAGCAGCTGGCCACCAAGGCAGCTCGGAAGAGCGCTCCGGCCACAGGCGGCGTGAAGAAGCCCCACCGCTACCGCCCGGGCACCGTCGCTCTGCGCGAGATCCGCCGCTACCAGAAGTCCACGGAGTTGCTGATCCGCAAGCTGCCTTTCCAGCGCCTCGTGCGGGAGATCGCCCAAGACTTCAAGACCGACCTGCGCTTCCAGAGTTCGGCAGTGATGGCTCTGCAGGAGGCCAGCGAGGCTTACCTGGTGGGCCTCTTTGAGGACACCAACCTGTGCGCCATCCACGCCAAGAGGGTCACCATCATGCCCAAAGACATCCAGCTGGCGCGCCGCATCCGTGGCGAGAGGGCTTAAAAGGGAGCCGCAGCCAGCCGCTCTCGCTTTCTGCCACCCACCCACCCAAAGGCTCTTTTTAGAGCCGCCACTCCTTCAAGAAAAAAGCTGAAGTCACATTTCTGCCACGATTGTGTGAATCGCTTCGTACTTTCGCAGTATATATGTCGCCTTAGCCGTCCCTATAGCCATGTAAAATGAGTCTTACTGGGGTACCTGAGACATACCCGAAGAATTGATAAACTAAAACTGCTTAATTTTTCTTCCCCCCGCTTTTTTAAAAATTTAGATCTCGGAGGTTTACAGCATAAAAATACAAGATAAAACAATAAAAACATGCCAGTTACCTCGATTAATGTGAACTTATAAAAGAGAAAGCCCACGGGGTACCAACTAGTGAGATGCATTCCTAGTAGCCAAAAAGCACCTCAGCTAAAGCAAAATTTTAGGCTCCAGGTGTAAGTTACAAACATTTGTTCCTCTCTCGAATCTGTTAGTTTCTTGGTAAAGCCACTAAGGTTAAGTGAAGCATAGTTTTTCATAGGAATAGTGATTCTGCGCTGCAAACGTGAAGGTCCATGTAGTGTATAACCTCTCCCCCCCCCCCCCCCCACACACATACCGCCCCAAATCAGCTATTTGCATGGCTGCGTCTGTGCGACTCTGGTGGGATGTATGCAGTGTTCAAAACCACCCCTGAAGCCAGCTTCTAGGTTTATTCAGAAGGAATATTTATTGCCCCCTCCCCGCGCTCCCAAGATTTGTAGTTTCCAGTTTAAAGGCACACTCGTTTAAAAACGCATCTTCGCCTTCTAAGTTTGTGGCAAGATTGGGCTTTAGGTACATCATGAAATTGCAGATACGCACATTTGCTTCGAAAGAAGCGATAAAGCTCTTTTGAGAGACAAAGTGGTTGGCCCTTAAAAGGGCCTTTTGAAAGCGATTGTTTTCAGTACGGAGCTTAGCCTCCGAAGCCGTACAGAGTCCGTCCTTGCCGCTTCAGGGCGTAGACAACGTCCATGGCCGTGACAGTCTTCCTCTTAGCATGCTCCGTGTAAGTGACCGCATCGCGGATGACGTTCTCCAGGAAGACCTTGAGGACGCCACGCGTTTCTTCATAGATGAGCCCCGAGATGCGCTTGACTCCGCCTCGGCGAGCCAAGCGTCGGATGGCGGGCTTGGTGATGCCCTGGATGTTGTCTCGGAGAACCTTGCGGTGGCGCTTGGCGCCTCCTTTGCCGAGCCCCTTGCCTCCTTTGCCACGACCAGACATGACAGACTCTCTCCAACGTCTCCCCGAAGTGAAGTGGTTCGGCGTTGCGTTTCTGTTTCTGTTTATGTAGTGTAGAATCCGACCGGAGGGAAAACTTCAGCCTGAAACAGTTAGGCTCCACCCCCTTATCCCCGATTGGGTGGGTAAATGGCAGGCTGAATCGGCCAATCAAATTCAAACTCGAGATTTGGCGCGTTCCGAGAGCGCTGAGGGTTTCTACCCAATTGTTTACTGATCAGAACGTTTCTTTTAAGATTCTCATAACATTTGTGAGAGTATATTTCCACTATTTACAGAATATATTTTTGCAAAATCGTGTGGTCATTTCTAATCACAAATCGCAAGCCCACTGTTGTTTTACTTCTTTCCTTCTCTTTAAAGAAATCTCTGTGCTTTTCCAATTATTGACGAGAAAAGCTTAAAGAGGACTTATATCGACTGAAACAGGTTGAAGCGACTTTAATTCTGCCTTTGATTGTGACTCAGTTGGTATCTCCTCCTCTGTAGTTTGGCTTTAAGGATGCCCATCTTAAACCACCCAGTAAATAAGTTATTTGGAGAGGATTATTGTTATTATTACAGCTGAAACAATAGGTTTAAAATCCCACTCTTAAAAGTTTTAACTCTGCACATACTACATGCCAGAGATTAGATTTTTTAAAGTGATTGTTTTCTACATATGCAGAATGCATCTGCTCCATTGCACCCCCACTTAAATAAGTTTGTAAGAGCATGCTAGTAACATTTAGCTTGGAAATAGGAGCTTTTCAGTTTTGATTTGTTTTTCTCATTGCAGCTGCTTCTCCTTGCCCTGTTCAGAGCAAAGGGTGGAGGAGGAACTGATCCACCTTGGGAAGAGGACAGTCCTTTATTTTACTTCAAGAGGAGAGGGAATTCTGGCAGGAGCAATTTGACATGTAGGGAGCATCTACTGAAAGCCCCCCTTCTGTGCCACTAATAATACTACCAGACTTCTGTCATCTTATGCATTTCATGCCTTGCTGAGATTACACTGGGTGTTAAGTAACCCAGGACAGTGTTTGGAAATTTGACCTAGCATGCAGAGGTTTTTTTCATGCAGAGGTGTTTTTTTATGCCGCCTCCCATCAGATGTCAAGGAGATAAAGGACTACACAACTTTTAGAAGACATCTGAAGGCAGCCCTGTATCGGGAAGTTTTCAGTGTTTGAAGTTATATTATGTTTTTATGTGTGTTGGAAGCCACCCAGAGTGGCTGGGGCAAACAGTCAGATGGGCGGAGTACAAATAAATCATCATCATCATCATCATCAGAACAATGACCTGGCTCAACATGGCAATTGTTAAAAGGTAAAGGGACCCCTGACCATTAGGTCCAGTCATGACCGACTCTGGGGTTGCGGCGCTCATCTCGCTTTATTGGCCGAGGGAGCCGGCGTAAAGTTCCGGGTCATGTGGCCAGCATGACTAAGCCACTTCTGGCGAGCCAGAGCAGCACACGGAAACGCGTTTACCTTCCCGCCAGAGCGGTACCTATTTATCTACTTGCACTTTGAGGTGCTTTCGAACTGCTAGGTTGGCAGGAGCAGGGACTGAGCAACGGGAGCTCACCCCATCGTGGGAATTCGAACCGCCGACCTTCTGATCGGCAAGTCCTAGGCTCTGTGGTTTAACCCACAGCGCCACCTGCATCCCATGGCAATTGTTACCTTACTGTAAAACAAGCTCACATTTAGGGCCTCTTAAGCAAACATGTTTTATTTTTAATCTACATTCTCCATAATACAAGTTGCAATAAGGCTGGCTTTACTTAAGACCTAACAGTGGGATCTTTCTCCCAGTCTTCCTCGTTATCGCCGTCATCGCCGTAATCTTCCGTCTCACCACCGCGCTTCCCCAGATCATCAAATTGCTGAAATGAGTAGTAGATGGCCCCACGCTTGGGCGAAGGGGAGCGGAAAATCATATCGGGCACAGAGTCCCAGTTGGGCGTCGTGGGGGTGGGACTTTCTTGCTTCAGGATCCAGAAGAAAGAATAGACGGCTAGAGCCACCACGACGAAGGACGTGAGGAATCCCCCAACGACCCCTGTCACCAGTGGAGTGACCCACTGAAAGATACTCCTGTTGTATGGCGGCAGGGGCCTCCTCTCTATAATCAGCTCCAATTTGTCCCAATCCCCCTCTTCCAGCTGGGCCTGAGATCCCTCTCTCCGCAGCCGGCCTCCTACCCCCTCGCTCCCACCCATCTCGTTCTCTTCCAGGAGCAGCGAAGAGGTCAAGCGCTGGACCGTCTTGTGATATCCCTCCACGTTCTTCTTGATCTCCAGACTCTTGTCTTGGTTGAGGTTCTTGCCCAGCTCCAGGGAGACGTCGGGACGCCCAACGGCCTGGAGAGCCCTCGACAGGCGGTCCCAATACATGGCGTCTCCTTCCGTCTCCAGCCAGCCGTTGAGGGTGGCTTTGCAGGCCTCGGTGGTGGCGATTTCCCGTCGCCTGCGAATGGGGTTCCTCTCCACCGAGAGGCGTTGGAGCTCTTCGTTCACGTTCTCTTCGGGCCCAATGAGCTTGGCGTAGAAGGCCTGGCATTCCTCAGGGGACAGGAGCTCCGAGATGCGGCCCATCATGTGGCTGCCAATGTCGTCGGCCACCGTGTCGTCGGGCAAGGCAGGACACACCAGGAGGAAAAGGGCTGTTCCGATGAGAATCAGCATTGAGGAAGTCCTGGAGCCAGAGAGAAGAGAGCATAGCTGTTAACCTACCCATATTTGGCGGGAAACTCCCTTATTCCAGCGCTGTTTCCCGCTGCTATCCCGGATTGTTGCTATCCTGTAAATTTCCCGGATTTCAAAGGAAGCAGCTCCTCTCCCTCCCGGCTCCCTGCCGGCCAGGGAAGCTCCTCAACTGCGTTGCTCAGCTGCCCAATAAGGAGTCTGAGAACGACTGGGAGGGTGGAGCTTGCATGCCTTGTGCCGATCAAATCGGCTGCGTTGCCTGGGGACTCGCCTTTGCTCGGCGCTTCCCAGTGGAGAGGTGACGGTGGTTTCCCTTGCTGCATCCCCTTTGCCGGGTTCATGTGCTGTGGGAACCACCACTTGAGGCTTCGTTTGGCTGCTGGCTTGGCTTTCTGCCTTTGGGCCTTTGGCTCGGAGGGGCTGTGTGTGTGTGTGTGTTCTCATCCTGAAGCAAAGTTCTTAACCAGAAGTACTATTTCTGGGTTAGCGGAGTCTGTAACCTGAAGTGTCTGTAACCCGAGGTACCACTGTATCAACTTGCACTTCGTGCTTTCGAACTGCTAGGAGCAGGGACCATGCAACGGGAGCTCATCCCGTTGCGGGGATTCGAACTGCCAACCTTCTGATCGGCAAGCCCTAGGCTCTGTGGTTTAGACCACAGCGCCACCCGCATCCCAAGGACATCCTATTTTGTTGTTATCATCATCATCATCACCACCTCTGATCCTTTTCTAAACCGCAGGCATACAGATGTTTTTGTTCTTCAAATGAGGATCAGCTACAATTCTTAGGAAGCAGAGGTCTGTAGATCTTCTAGTTTCTCTGTGTTTCTGCAGTGCTGTAGCACACACAAAACACCCACTGTTTCTCTACTACAAAGGTGTCCTATTTGGGAAGGGGAAATTGGCAGCCGAGTGCCTTTACAACTGTGTTTGTAGAGTGTGTGAATTTTGCAGAATGGCAGGAACTTGGGTGTCCATGGAATAAACAGGACTACAATAATTACTGGCCATCGTGACTGCCTGAAATCTTTCTGGGATATGATGTATTTAAGATGAATTATTATTATTATTATTATTATTATTATTATTAATAGTAATAGTAATAATAATACAGTGGTACCTCTGGTTATGAACTTAATTCGTTCCAGAGGTCCGTTCTTAACCTGAAACTCTTCTTAACCTGAGGTACCACTTTAGCTAATGGGGCCTCCCACTGCTGCTGCGCGATTTCTGTTCTCATCCTGAAGCAAAGTTCTTAACCCGAGGTACTATTTCTGGGTTAGCGGAGTCTGTAACCTGAAGCGTATGTAACCTGAAGCATCTGTAACCCGAGGTACCACTGTAATAATAATAATATAATGATAATGATGATAATGATGATGATTATTTATACCCCAACCATCTGATTGGGTTGCCCCGGTCACTCTGGGCAGCTTCCAACATATATAAAAACATAATAAAACATTAAGCATTAATTTTCTGCTGCTCCAGAGAAGTGGACACGGAGCAATGGATCCAAACTACAAGAAAGAAGATTCCACCTAAACATTAGGAAGAACTTCCTGACAGTAAGAGCTGTTCGACAGTGGAATTTGCTGTCAAGGAGTGTGGTGGAGTCTCCTTCTTTGGAGGTCTTTAAGCAGAGGCTTGACAACTATATGTCAGGAGTGCTCTGATGGTGTTTCCTGCTTGGCAGGGGGTTGGACTCGATGGCCCTTGTGGTCTCTTCCAACTCTATGATTCTATGAAAAAAAAAACCTTCCCCATATAGGACTGTCTTCAGATGTCTTCTCAAGGTTGTCTAGTTACTGAACTCCACACCCTCCAACATTTCTCTGATGAAAAGAGGGATCATGTCCTAAGGAAAAGTGGGACATTCCTGGATCAAATCAGAAACCAGGACAGCTTCTGTAAACCTGGGATTGTCCCAGGAAAATAGGGACACTGGGAGGGCCTGGAATCCACTTATGCTACCTTGAGATCCTTGGAGGAAAAGGTGGGAGAGCTAGAAATGCAGTGAAATGAATAAATAAAACATCATGAGATCTTGTCTTCTTTCTCTACATATAAGATTCGGCTCTGAGGGAAGGCTGGCTGTGAAGCGATTTTAAGTTGGGGACAAAGAGAGAGGGTTACCTGGCTTAACTCCCAGAACAGGGGACGTCTCTCTCGGAATATCGCAGAGCAATTGCTGTGGAATTTTAAATCTCCTTGAGTATCTGATGTCATAAACGGAGGCAGAAGTCCACTTCCATTCTGCCTACTGGGAGAGGAGCTTGTGGCTGAGCTCAGCTACAACTCCCACCACCATTGGCCATGCTAACTGGTGCTGATGGAAATTGTAGTTCAGCAGTTGTTGGAGATTCCTCGGCCCTGAAGTAAACTGCCTCAGATCTTGGGGTAGTTGTTGCCAGTCAGTGCTGACAACACTGAGGTAATTGAACCACTTGATATAAGGCAGTGCCAGCCCGCCAGATGTTTTGGGACTACAACTCCCATGATCCCTAGCTAGTAGAACCAGTGGTCAGGGATGATGGGAATTGTAGTCTCAAAACAGCTGGAGGGCCGAGGCTGAGGAAGCCTGGCTTAGATGGACTGTTTTCAACCTAGCTGGACCATAAAGAAGGCTGCTCGCCGAAGAATTGATGCTTTTGAATTATGGTGCTGGAGGAGACTCTTGAGAGTCCCATGGACTGCAAGAAGATCAAACCTCTCCATTTTGAAGGAAATCAGCCCTGAGTGCTCACTGGAAGGACAGATCCTGAAGTTGAGGCTCCAATACTTTGGCCGCCTCATGAGAAGAGAAGACTCCCTGGAAAAGACCCTGATGTTGGGAAAGATGGAGGGCACAAGGAGAAGGGGACGGCAGAGGACGAGATGGTTGGACAGTGTTCTCGAAGCCACAAGCATGAGCTTGACCAAACTGCGGGAGGCAGTGGAAGACAGGAGTGCCTGGCGTGCTCTGGTCCAGGGGGTTACGAAGAGTCGGACACGACTAAACGACTAAACAACAACAACACACACACACACACACACACACATATATATATATATATATAATTTAATCATTTTTTCAATACAAACAACAACTGCAAAAGACACAATGGACTGTTTTCAACCTTGTGATTTTTTTGTCAACCAGCAGGTGGCAGTACTCTGCCAAAGATTTATCCTACCCAGAGAAAAGTTGATAATTTTATTATTTATTGGTTATTTATAAATAATCCTCTCTCCAGTTCAAGACTCTCGAGGAGGGTTGGCTGTTGGTCATGATGCTGTAGCTTCGGGTAAGGTGACCAGGATTGCTGATGACACTAAGTTATTCAGGATCCTATCAAATAAAAATGGATTGTGCGGACCTTCGAAAGGATTGCTCCAAGTTGACTGGATGGGCGTTAAAAAGGCAAAAACTGTTCAATGTAAACAAGTGTAAAGTGGTGATCATCAGGGCAAAAAACATATATATATATATATATATATATATATACACACACACGCACATAAATATACATAAACACACACACACACACACACACACACACACAGACATATATATGTGGTTTTTTGAAATAAAGTTTTACAATCACATATCCAACATTTAATGTACAGTGGTACCTCGGGTTAAGTACTTAATTCGTTCCAGAGTTCCGTTCTTAACCTGAAACTGTTCTTAACCTGAAGCACCACTTTAGCTAATGGGGCCTCCTGCTGCCGCCGCGCCGCTGGAGCACGATTTCTGTTCTTATCCTGAAGCAAAGTTCTTAACCTGAAGCACTATTTCTGGGTTAGCGGAGTGTGTAACCTGAAGCGTATGTAACCTGAGGTACCACTGTATATCCATCCATACATACACACACACACACACACACACACATATATGGCTTTTTGAAATAAAGTTTTACAACCACATATCCAACATTTAATGTATTTTAAATCTTTGTTGGAAGCCGCCCAGAGTGGCTGGGGAAACCCAGCCAGATGGGTGGGGTACAAATAATAAATTACAATTACAACATACAACATAAAAACAAGATTCCACAGGATCTCCTGGACTTCCCTCATCCCCTTTGTGGGTCCTATTGTTAGTCCTTTCCTCCTGCATCTTTTATAATAATCCAAATCTTTTACATCTCCATTATATCCAAAATTCGCCATTAAACTACAAGTGGCAAAAAACCCCATATTTTTTTGCAGAGCAAAAAAACCTTAATTTCACATGCAGGTTCATGGCATCTGACAATGAGACCTTTGGGTTGTAGTGGGGAGTTCAATGAAGGTGTTCCCCATGCGCAGCAGCTGTGAAAAAGGTGAATTCCTTATGAGGGATCATTAGGAAAAGTATCAAACAAGTTCAAGTTGGTGGGCTTGAACCACCAACCTCCTGGTTAACAGCCAGGCACTGTGATCCATTGTACCACTGATCCATTCCTGGCATAGTCTAGAAGAAACTTGAAAATGGTCTTGAACAATCAAGATTTGTTTTGATGAATTTCTGCAAGGTGGTTTATTATTCTTAGGTTATGTATGTGAGACAATCCTAACAAAGATTCACAAAGGAAACAGTTGAAAAGAAATCAATTAAAAAGCCGATATCAGGGTGAAGGAAGTCAAAACTTTATGTTATTTATATTTATGTGGTGTAAGTGTTTTAAGTTTCGTTGGTTGTAACTTTTATTGTCATTATCTAATTTTTAATTTATTTTTATTGCTGTATATTTTTTGGGGGGGTGTTTCTGTTTTGTTGTTGTTAGTTCTGATGTATCAATAAAATCTATAAAAAAGGGAAAAAAGAAAATGGTCTTGAACTAGTTCCTAGGCAACAGAAAATTTCCCCAGCAACAGGTGTCTTTATTGGGACATGTGATCAACTAAGACTGGATCACTGTAAATAAACACGTGAATGAGTCAACATCAGGTCTCTGGCCGGATGGCTAAAAGAGAAAAAGATTATGCTGCTTTATTTGGTTTCTTTTATTTATTTATTTTTTCCAAATTTGTTTCATTAGTTTTCCAAATTTATGACACATAAATCCACAAACAGGAAAAGAAAACATTAAAAAACAAACAAACATTTATCCTAACTGTAATAATTCCACTTTTGTTAACATTGTTGGGTGACTTCCTCGCGTCCCCCTGGCTGAGTTTCCATATAAATCATTGTAGCAGTTTTCCAAAACTATTTCCACATAGAATTTGCTTGGTTGATTAACATCTTTCTTTTCATTTTAACAACATAGTATTCTGCAACACCCCATATTTAAATCCTAGGCCTATCTGATACTCGCAAGTAATTCTTTTTATTTTATCTTAATGGTTTCTTTTATTTCTTAAAGACCAGTGTAAAGTTTTGTAAATAATAATGACTCTGAGAAACAGAACCAAATGGTGTTTATTCCTGTAATGGGAATTTCACTAAGAGAGAGCTGGAATGCTGCTGCTGCTGCTGCTGCTGTTATAAAGCAGTAAAAGATGCAGGAAAATATTTGTATAAAAGAACTCTGCTGCAGAAAGAAATGAAAACCCAAAAGGTGCACCAAGATGCACATGAGCTGCTAAAATAATAATAATAATAAAAATAATTTATTTATTTATTTATTTATTTATTTATACACCGCCCATCGAGGTGAAACTGCAGGTAAAATACTGTGTACATACCTGGTCACCATACCAGGGGCAGAATCACATACCCTCCAACATTTCTCTGATGAAAATAGGGACATCCTATTCCATTTTTATTTTATTTTTTTATTTTGCATTATTATTTTTTAATATTTTATTAAAGTTTTCTTGGTTTACAAAGGTATGCGCAATGTCTCTTTTTTCAAGTTACATTTTCCATAGGTCTGTTTCATTTGTTGAGACATTAGGGTTACATTGGGGAGAAAAAAGGGGGGAAGAGGTGGAGGGGGGAAAGGCGAGTGGGGGTCAGGAGGTGATATTTCTATTTCGCTTAATGTATGTGTGGGTTTTTGTGTCAGGTTCTCTTTGCTATTTGCTTGTGTTCCTTTGGCGGTGAGAGAAATTGTGTTTGGCCTAGGGTGTGGTTGCTTGTTTTTGATTGGCCGTGTTGAACTTTGTTTTCGTGTGTGAGTGGTGTGTGTGTGTGTGTGTGTGTTTGAATCAAGTTAGCCATATTAATTCATATGCTGTTGGTGGATTCTTGTATTCCATTTTTATTTTTATATTACAGTGGAACCTCTACTTACAGACGTACAGTGGTACCTCAGGTTAAGTACTTAATTCGTTCCGCAGATCCGTTCTTAACCTGAAACTGTTCTTAACCTGAAGCACCACTTTAGCTAATGTGGCCTCCTGCTGCCGCCACGCCGCCAGAGCCCGATTTCTGTTCTTATCCTGAAGCAAAGTTCTTAACCTGAAGCACTATTTCTGGGTTAGCGGAGTCTGTAACCTGAAGCGTATGTAACCTGAAGCGTATGTAACCTGAGGTATGTTGGGTTGAAATCACGACAGACGAGTGGTAGGTGTCATATGAGAGGCGTCTGCCGGGGCAAGCCCCGGGAACTCTCTTTTATTGAATATTACAAACATTGCCACAGGTGTGCTTGTGGCTGATTGGTTGATACAAACACAAAGCATCTTGTTGCTGATTGGTTAACATAGGTACAAGGCGGGAATTACATATGAGCATTTATCACTGATAGATCAAAGGCTGAGAAACGGAGCTGGAACTAGACAGGCATGAAACCTCCTAATTAAATTATAACTAAAGATTGATATTGAAGGAACATAACATGAAAGAATACAACAATCACGTTCCGTAGATGTGGTCAGCAATGCATTAAGAACAGGTCAGGATACACTGTTTCATGAACTCAATGGGAACTGTTCAGAACATTCTCAGACTCTTGTGCAGAAGCAGAGAAAAGATTATGAGCGAGACTTCCCAGAATGCAAGAGAAAAGAAGCAATAGTTCTCATAGTCCCATAATGCCACAGTTATGTGCAGTAAGAGAACTGCAGAAAGAGAACTTCCCTTTAGAGGTACCACTGTAATCAGTTCCGGAGGTCCGTCCATAAGTCGATCCGGGTCACTGGTAGAAGTGCTGTTGTGTGCAGGTGCATTTGGTGGCAGCGCACTTCTGCACATGTGCACATGTGCTTCTGCGCATGCGCAAATCATGACAAACTCGGTATTTACTTCCTGGTTTGCCGCGGTCGCAACTTGGATCGGGCCCAAATAAATGCAGTGGCAAGTAGAGGTTCTATTATTATTATTATTATTATTATTATTATTATTATTATTTATTAATACCCCACCCAACTGACTGGGCTGCCCCAGCCACTCTGGGCAGCTCCCAACATATATAAAAACATAATAAAACATTTTAGGAAAACTTCCCTATGCAGGACTGCCTCCAGGGATCTTCTGAAGGTTGTATAGTTCCTTATCTCCTTGGCTCGGGAGTCACATACCTGCCAACATTTCTCCGATGAAAAGAGGGACGTCCTAAGGAAAAGCGGGACATTCCGGGGTCAAATCAGAACCCGGGACAGCTTCTGTAAATCCAGGACTGTCGCTGGAGAACGGGGAGACTTGGAGGGTCTGTGTCTATAGGGTGACGGTCTCAGCATGAAGGGAGAAGAGAATCCAAAGAAGATTGGAAGAAATTTAAAGACTACTTACAGAAATATTGCAAAATTAATGAATGTTAGAATGATGTTGGATTGAAGTTAAGTGGTTTCTAGCTGTAATGGTATAAAAGAATATGGAAAAATTGGACTTTTAATACGTAAAAAACTAATGCTATAATATATTAAGATTAAAGATCAGGATTAAAAAGGAGGGAAAGGAATTTCTGGACTAATAAACGGAACTGGAATACAAAAAAGGGAGGTATGAGGAGGTCCGGGAAACAAGTAAATGAAAGAGAAGAGATGAAAAGAGGGAATTGTTTTTAATTGTCTTTTTGTATTTTGTATTTTTCTTCTTTTTTATGTTTCTCTTTCTTATCTATGTATCCTTTTTTTGAAACTTTAATAAATATCTTTTCAAAAAAAAAGAGAATCCAAATTCAAGTGTTGAAAATAGACGGTGCGAGGGGAGGTGTAGTATTTGGCCTCCCCAAATATTGTATTTCTGCATGGGCAGGCACAGTATTCTCCTATGACCACTTTCAGCCACTATTTCGCTGTTGTGATCTTTTTTAAAAAAATGTATTTTTATTAAATATTTTCTTGATTTACAAAAGTATGTGCAATGTCTCTGTCTCTCGTAATTTTTCCCCCATGTAATTTTTTAAAAAAACAAATCTGTTTCATTTGCTGATACGTTAGGAAGAAAAGGGGGAAAGAGATGGGGGGAAAGATGAGTGGGGGTGGGGTCGGGTGGGGATGTTTCTATTTCACTTAATATATGTGGGGTTTTGTGTCAGTGTTCTTTGTGCAGGTTCTCTGCTGTTCACTTGTGTTCCTTTGGTGGTGAGAGAGGTTGGGGTTGGCCTAGGGTGTGGCTGTTCATTTGTGGTTGGCTGTGGTGGTCTTTGTTTTCCTGTGTGAGTGGGGTGGGTGGGTGTTTTGGATCAGGTTAGCCATACTGATTTGTAGGCTGTTGGTGGATTTTTGTCATTGTCTTGTTGGGCTGTGTGTGTGATAAAGGGGTGAAGGCGCTGAAAGCTGCTGTCGGTTGCCATTCTGAGTTCCTTGGGTCCCGGAGCTGAAGCCTGGATACACAGTGCGATGAAGCAGGCAGTGGTGTGGCGGTGCTGTGTGTGGCGGTCAGCTCAGCGGGATCCCATACTCATCGCCAGTGAAATACACTCGGAGTCGAGAGTGGATTTCATGCTCTTTATTCAGCTCATAGTGGTGAAGAGGAATGAGTGTTCCCCCAAAATATCTGCTTTATATACATAATTTACACAATGGGCCCCACGTGATTGGCTAATTCCGGGATTCTCCTGTAGGCCAATCAGGTTGCGGAGTCACTTCCACCTGGAGCTGGATTGGGTGGCTCCTGCGGACCAATCAGACTGCTGCATTGTTCTAGGACCAATCAGACTGCTGCATTTTGGATCCTATTCAACTCAGTACATAACAGGCGTCTTCTTCTATTTGTCCCCGTGTCAATTTCAGTTTATTGGTTGAATTTTCTAGTAGGGCTGTTTTCCATACTATTTGGTACCACTGGTCCATGCTTACTCCTGACAGGTCTCTCCAGTGTCTGGTTATGGTGTTTTTGGCTGCTGAAAGTAGGTGGGTTATGAGTTCTTTGTGGTGTAAATGGGCATTATTGCCTTGGAAGATGTTTCCTGTGGTGATCTTTTAAGAAGTTCATGTTTCTCGCATCTTTCTAATTGCACCCTTGGATTTGTGTGTGTGTGTGTGTGTGTGTGTGTCTGATATATGGAGAACTTCTACTAGCTGTAGGAAAGCGCTTTCCTGTAAATCTGCCAGAGCGCCT